CATCCATCCATCCATCATCCAACTGTCATCCATCCATCATCCATCCATCCATCCATCCATCCAACCATCATCCAACCATCATCCAACCATCATCCATCCATCCATCATCCAACTGTCATCCATCCATCCATCATCCAACTGTCATCCATCCATCATCCAACCATCATCCATCCATCCATCATCCAACCATCATCCATCCATCCATCATCCAACTGTCATCCATCCATCCATCCATCCATCCAACCATCATCCATCCATCATCCAACCATCATCCATCCATCCATCATCCAACCATCATCCATCCATCCATCATCCAACCATCATCCATCCATTCATCATCCAACTGTCATCCATCCATCATCCAACCATCATCCATCCAGCCATCATCCAACCATCATCCATTCATCATCCAACCATCATCCATCATCCATCCATCATCCAACTGTCATCCATCCATCCAACCATCATCCAACCATCATTCAACCATCATCCAACCATCATCCAACCATCATCCATCCATCATGTCTCACCCTCAGGAGCTGGAACCTCCTGGTCTTCAGGGGACAGCTGTCCATCGTTGGGGGACGGTGTGTTGATCTCGACTTGAGACTGAGAGTTTCTCCTGAATCTCTGGATCCTTCCTCTGATCCATCCTCCTGCAGCTCTGCCTTTTTGGTTCATCAGAGTGTTCAGAGTTAACGCTGCAGAGTCCGAGAAGATTCTCATTTCTGGGTCTGAACCGGTCCTTGTCTTCAAGCAGACGGAGAGACGGAACCAACAGGACGGAAAGGAGCAGAAAAATCTGTGCAGACAAATAGATGTGCAAAATGTGATTGAATCTGTGAAGTGGTTGTTTTTGGAGACATTAGGAAGAATTAATTCAGTGTTCAGTTATTTCTGCTTCTTGTTTACCGCCTCCTTCCAGTTTATCATGCAAATTAAAACCTTTTATTTTTGGCTGAACAAGTCAAGACGAGTAGATTATGTGGCAGTACAAGCAAAAACAAAGTTAATGCCCGAAGCAGCTCTGTTTTTAATTACTTTAACACGTYCAGCTAATAAAACTAAAGTTTACACTCACACAGAAACTGAAAAAGAATTTGGAAAAATAAGAAAATAAAGAAGACATGAAAAAGAACAACTAAAAGACAGACAGCTGATGATGTGTTTGATGTCCTCTGGATTTTTGAGTTGTCAGTCAGCGGAAGTTACTCACCCTGATCCTGCAGTCCAGCTCTGTCTGCACCTCAGTTCAGAGGCTCCATATATGCTCGACATGCTCCGCCCATTTTAACATGATGGAAAACCCAACACACACACACACACACACACACACACACACACACACACACCAGGCCTTTTCTAACAGCAGCTCTGAGGCAATCCTCTTTGTCTCTGAAGCTGTTTCTTGTGAAACTCTGTAAAAACCTTCAGGCAGACTAAACTCTGGTGTTCCCCCCCCCCACAGACCGGCCCCTCCAACAC